AAGTAGTAAATGAAATTTGCTTTACCATGGAGCCAAGTATTAAACGAAATTAGCTTTCCCATATATATTGTTGATAAGGTTCTAGTTCAGAGTAATTGGATCAGGTTCTGGATCAGGTACCTGGATCAGGGTAAGGATGGACTGGGAATGATGGGAGAATTTAGTTCTAGGGTGACAGAAATAGTTCTATTCTTGGGTGGACTAAACCAGCTATCTCGTCTTTCACAAAAGCCCATTGAAAACCCAGAAAGTCTTTGCACCTTCTGAAAGTTGTTCAGAACAGAGACATTTTTTGGTTGTACATTGAACTGAGAAGTGGACATAGCATTGTTTCAGACTGCTTCAGGCCTTTATTCAGGCCTTTATAAGTTGGCTCCACACTAAATTGGGTTTTCCCAGTCTTTGGGGTTGAGAGAAAGGACTTAAGGCTTTAGCAGCTTTACCTTTATATTGCTTTGCCTTTTAAAAACTACCCATATTTGAAGACACATCTCTAGATTTAGGATCATATGTTAAATCTTCCCTGACCATGCTAAGCTGAAGGGACTTCTCCCTTATGTAAATCCTTATCACTTTCACTTTAGGTCCTTTGTCAAATAGTTTTGTGGGGTTTGTTAAGGAATCAAAACAATTTCCTTCCTGCCACACCCCCATTTCCCTTTCTCAGACATACAATTGCAATGCTGTTTTGCAATTATTTTTTATTTAAAACATTATTTTAGAGTGGCGCCTGTGGCTCAAAGGAGTAGGGCGCTGGCCCCATATGCCAGAAGTGGTGGGTTTGAACCCAGCCCCAGCCAAAAACTCCAAAAAAAAAAAAAAATTACTTTAGACACTATCTATTAGTTCCTACTATGAAATATGAGAATTTAGCTCTCTTTCTGCTTTCTACCTTGCCCCATCACATGCATCCTTTCTGTTCTCTGACCCTTATAGTATAGTTGAGCTTAATTTAGACTAATCAGTATTTTGTGACTATCTATATATACCTTGAAATAAACAGTGAGCTTGAAATAAATAATAATAACTTTTCCTCAACAGTTTTATGGTCTCCATATAGCTAATAATTGTTTTACTTTTGGTTTTCATATGCTCAATTTCTGTGTATTTATCACAAATTCAACTTCACATTCTTTGTTAATTATCTAAATTGCCTCTTAGAATTATTTAGACACATTGCATATTTTACAATTTTCTCTTGCTGACAATGAAAACTTTCCAACTTGATCCGTCTGTTCCTAGTGTGATTAATCCTGGGATTTCCCTTTACTGGCACTTTTTTTTTTTTTGAGATAGTCTCACTATGCTATGTCGCCCTCTGTAGAGTGTGCAGCTCACAGTAACCTCAAACTCCTGGGCTTAAGTGATTCTCTTGCCTCAGCCTCCTAAGTAGCTGGGACTACAGGCGCCTGCCACAATGCCCGGCTATTTTTGTTGTTATTGTTGTATTTGTCATTGTTGCTTAGCTGACCCCGGCTGGGTTCGAACCCGCCAGCCTCAGTATATGTGGCTGGCACCGCAACCACTGTGCTATGGGAGCCAAGCCCCTTTACTGGCATCTTTGAAATTCCCTTTTTGAACCTCTTGTGTTGGATTTCTATTTTCAGTATCCTTTAGCTTTCTGTTTTTTAGTTTTCTTCCTTGTTGCCATATTGGAGTACCTCCTTCAGAATCTTCCTAAAGTATACTGCTTTGCTAATAAGTGTATTAATAAAACCTTGCAAATCAGAAAATGATTTTTTTGAGACAGAGTCTCAAGCTGTTGCACTGGGTAGAGTGCTGTGGTGTCACAGCTCACAGCAACCTCAAACTCTTGGGCTTAAGTGATTCTCTTGCCTCAGCCTCTCAAGTAGCAGGGACTACAGGCTCCTGCCACAATGCCCAGCTGTATTTTTTTGTTGTTGTTACAGTTGTTGTCCTTTTAGCTGTCCCAGCCCTGGTTCGAACCCACCAGCCTCCATCTGGCCGGCACCATAACCACTGAGCTATGGGCGCTGAGCCTGGAAAATGATTTTATTCATCCTGCTACTGGTGTCATTTGAATGGTTCTGTCATTCTAATGTCAAAATAGTTTTGCTTCAGAATTCTAAAAGTATTGCTCCAAAGTATTGTCTTTTAGTGTTACTGTTGAGAAGTCTGAAGCCATTCTGATT